AGGATCTTTCGACTTTTTGGAGAAGGTTAATACAGAATGGATATTGAAATCAGGAAAATATTTCATTTCTTAGTATAAACCTTATGATGTTGTGGCTGAAGGAAATGATGATTCACTTTATGACGGGGATAAAAATTGTGTAAAACACTTCTGAGACAGACATTTTATATTTTGAAATTTATAAGTGATACTCTGTTTTGCATATGACAAATAATATGATGATAAATAAATTAATTCAGTGTTGGTGCCCCTGTGTGTAGAAAATTTCCTAAATACATTAAGCTACACTGCTTAAGTACGGGGGGAAAAAGTCTTATAAAAGTTAAGCAATGAATTTTTTAAAGAGTATTGTTAAATCATGTACTAGGACTAGAATGTAGCCATAATGAGAATACTTAATAAATTATGTTTGGAGGTTTAAGACAGAAAAAATACTCGAGACCACTAGCAGGAGTTTACTTAAGCTTTAGCCATCCTTTTTCAGTTGCTTCCCAAGCCTGCGCTTCAGTTGTATGCTGACTTCTCTAGGTTCTCTTTCCATCTTTGTTTTGCATCTTCTGAATACCTCAGCTTTGTCCATCCCAAGGTTCACCTAGTCTTTCCTTCTGATTAACTTCTGCTTACAGTCATTAAAGAGAAATCCTTGCCAAGGATCCAAAGGCAAATCCTTGCCTTTTGCAGAAATTATCTGCAAAAGGAGCTTTGTCACATGGGAAGTGTTGAGAAAATGCTCTTTTGTCCTCAATCTCTTCAAAAGTGAAAATACAGAACCCCCTTTCTTTTGATTGAAAATTGTTTCAAAAATACCTTTGTATATGTTAGAATATTTTGCTTGAGTAACATTAATACTAAACTGTATGCTTACCAGGTATTTCTGATGACTGTCTTTTTTATCTCATTCTCCTTTATAGCTCCTGCTTTCTTTTGCCCCAACTAAATGGGTAGGTTACACTGAACACATGCAAATTTTTCATTTCACCCTTATTTTTTAGTGGGAAATATTCTGTAGAAAACCCCCTCCAGAAACCTCTTTCAAATTATGACTTTGGATGAAACAGCTTTTTCTTTGAGGCAGACATTCTATGAACGCAATGTAGCTTGAGTATATGGAAATTCCTGTGGAGATTAAAAAAGAAAATAGATTCTCAAGTCTGGTTATGGCCCTTTGGCTCCACTGAGACTCTGTAAATGACTTTATCCAACCATAAATAACCAGAGGAACATTTTCCTGCAGGCACATCTGTGCCACTGATGAGCCATTAGTTTTTCCCCTTCGGGTCCTGTGCTGGTAGGAGGCATGTTGAGAGAGATGTAGCTGACCTTCATCACTCCAGATGGATCCTATAGTGGCACTGGCTTCATTAAAGACCAGTGTCACTAGCATTAGAGTGGCCATGGAGCAGATTGTCCGATGAAGAATATCTGCTCGCTAAAGACCATCATCATTTGTACTGAGTGAAAACTGTGTAGTTGAGTCGTAACTTAACTCTGAATACTTCTATGTGCAAGAGTTTGTGGCCCAGTCTGTAACTGCAGTTAATTCAGTACTTACTTGCTCAGGTCATTCTCAGTAAAGAAATCTGCCACTTTAATATTACTCCATGAATGCTTCAACAAAACGAGTTACATTTATTAGCAAAGACTGCTGCTCAATGGAGAGAATCAGGGTTTTTTATGTAAGAAATCTTCAGATGAAAATGGCACAAATGCCTTTGGCTGCCTCATATGAGATTGATTCTGTCCACTTACTTTTCTAAGAGCTTTCTGTCCTTCCAAAACTGTGATGCAGAGCAGCATATGCTAAAACACTGTGCCAAGTGGCTCACAGCCGAATTTGCTGTTGTTCCTTTTTCCCTTGTCACAGTACTGAAACAGTCCTCTCCCAGACAAATGAAACTGTCTATCAGCATGATTGATTGTGAAGTTCCCCAAATAATAATTCTTTTGAAATGTCTTTTTACTAACCAAGGAACACTTTTAATGGAGTGCTAGGTTAATCTGAAGGAGTTTGCTGATAGATTTTGCTTAGCCGTCTTCATTCTCCAGCCTTCCCGAACTTTGTCAGCTGTGTATTTTGCAATGATATTTCAGAAGCTGGACATTTAAGCTATTTTCCCTCTGCTCAAACTATTAATAACCAGTTAATAGTTTGATTTGAAATCTGTATTCCGTAATACTGCCTGATCTTTTTGTCATCTGACCATTGACTGTCAAAAGGGTGTTAACTTCTACACTGTCAAGACTTTCTGCAGTTAACTGAGTTTTTTTTCAAGTAGGGTGTCTTTGAAGATACTTAATCAATCAGGTTTTGTTAGACTATGTAGTAGCCCCTCAGCAATAGTGTAGTAATAAACCTTATTTTCACCAAAAGTTAAAAGCCTTCAAACTATGGTCTCTGAGAGTAAATTACCCCTGAACTAAAGCTCTGCAACTGTAGACAATTTGGCTGTTTTCTTGGGGGAAAGGATTAATCAACCTCATAGCATTGCAAATCCATTTTTGTTTGAAGAACAGAAAAATATAAAAGTCAGATGAGCTAAGAGCATCCCTGAAAAATAGTTTTGTACCAAGGCAAAGAGTGTGTGTGAAAGAGCGAGATGGTGCAGGGTTCTTTTGGATCTTGGTAAGAAAGATCTAACAACAAATGGCTCAAAAAATGCTGTTTTAATAAGATAGAGTAAAAAGAGGAATGCAGACAGCACATAAATCTTGTATCCCTCCAGAGGCCGGGACCCCTGCTTTTATGCAGCATTGGATTGACCCCAAATATGTTTTTGCATTACATGCTGTGCAGATCTTATTTGTGGATGCAAATCCTCTTTTTGGTCATTCAAATAATTATATAAATCACTATTTGACATATAATGGTTTTCCAGTCTGAATCAGTAGAGAGATATTTTGTTAAGATCTAGTACTGTCAGGAACAAGCTAGAAAGAAGCATATAGCTCAATACAAACTGGTAGAATTAGTTTTTCCGAAACACAGGTGTTCAAGTCAAAAAGCTACAGTATACAGGAAAATAGTGTTTTATATATTATTGAATATTTTATGCATGAGGAGAAAAGCAGTTTTGAATTCCCTATGGTCTAATATTTGAGAGGTTGTGAAAGTAGGGTGTGATTTTACTTCTTTTAGAGACAAAGACAAAACTCCCATGATTTATATGTGAAGAAAAATTTTTATAGAAAAGGCTGACAAGCATTCTAAAAACCTGTATTTCTTGAACTTTAGGTCCAAATTTAATTCTTAAGCTTAAATGCTTCTAGAATCTCTCAATAAAATCTGTTACAGAGTGATTCTTTGCTAATGCCTGTTCAATTAGCAAATATGCAAATATGTCCTAGAAAATGGGTGGACATAATTTCACACTGTGTTGGGGGTTTTTAATATTTATTGTAAATGATACAGAAAATTATCGACCACTAGTTGGGAACAGCTTGTGTTCATAGCAGGTCATGAGGCTTCATCTTTCATGACCATAGCATATGCTGCACATTGGGGAACTTGCCCAATAACCTTCCATTCCTTGCCACTATAGTAATTGTGATTGCTGACCTAGACAGTATCCTACTTATCCTCTGATTCATTTTAAGTGAAGATTACTTTGAATGATGACACTGAAAACACGTAGGGGTCTTTTTTAGATTTTTTTTCAAGATCCTTGCTTGGATGTGATAGTATATTTCATTTAAAATTGCATAATACTCTAAAATCTTCATTTCTGGGCCAAAACCTTTAATTTTTTCTTATAATTTATTAGCTCCCCACGATTGTATTGCATTCTTTTTGGACCCACAACTTGTTCTGCTGACTTTGAAGAAACAGTTGTGAGAGCTGTGCTCCTTCTCAGTATCACTGTGAGTATATTGTCACTACAGGCTGTGCTTGCTTGTTGACTGATGGCTGAGTTCACTTTCATGATTTACATCATGATTTACATGTGTTGTTTCCTTTCTATACATTCAGAGATACATCATCTCACGTATCTCATCTCAGTTTGTCATCTGCACACATGCTAATTGACATGATAAGGATGTGCCACCTACATAGGAATGACAGGGTTTTTTTCTGTGCTGTGCAGTATACTAAGCTGATTTTTTTGTGGGTGAAATGCGTGACATAACATCTTCCCTTCACAGCTCTTAAAGCTGACGTGATTGTGCCATATATATGAAATATATAATGTATACCTTATATATACAATCATCCTGAAAACCTGAAAATTTCTTTTTTTTTTACTGATAGATCATATATGTTAATTAGACCATAGAACCATTAGATAGGGACAATAACTAAAGAGTCAGAGAAGCTTTAGAGAACGTTTTAGATCTTTCTACCATGTGTATGTGTGTTGAACTCTCAAGAAAAAATGCAGTATATAATTTAAAATTTAGTTTGACACAAAACATGAGGCAGTTGTTACTTTTACCAGTTGGAACATCAGCTTCTGGAACTGCAAAACTATTATAAATGTGTGGGATCTTTCCACCTTGCATATATGTAATGACTATTGGTTTTTACAGAATTTCTGAATGGGGAAACACACCATCATGAGGGGTCCTGAGACATTTCAGTTGCTCTGTTATTTATCCCATGTTTGTGCAGAAACAGTTCATCATTATCAAAAAGCTGGTTCTCCTAAACATTATACAACTTGTTCATTTGGTCACTGCTTGTGGTTCATATTCAGGCAGCTATTGCCAGAAAATTAAGTTGATATTCTAAAAAGGAAGTCACAGAATTCACAGAATGTAAGTCTGTAGGAGTGGTAATAAACACCTGAAAAAATTAATATGTTCTAGTAAAAATTTCTGTATCATACCACAGCTGTTAATGGAACATCAACATGGAGTTTTCTCTCCAGAAAAACAGGCAAAATTGTCAACCACAAAAGAAATTTTTCCTCCTGTCCAACAGAATTAAGTGCACCAGTTGAATAGATTGATGATCACAAGGGGAGTGCAAGACCTAAGAAGTAGATATTAATTTATCTACTTACCCATAACATAATGCTGACGACGACCATGGTGGCCTTTAGTGGAATCTGGGTATGATGGTGCTTCCTTCACACCAGTATATCCATTCAAACTGGGGGTGTCTTCTATAAAAGAGTAGAAATTTTTCCAAGAGAAGAGAATTACCAGAATAAGAATCAGAGTTTGGGGAACCTCACTCTTGATGGGGAGATTCTTTGAGAGTTGATACTACGATTCAAAGAGTTAATTTTTCTTCACAGTAAAAATGCAAAAGTATGTAAAAGAACCTCGTATGAATAGATCATCAGAAGACTGCCAAAGCTTCTTGTCTCTAGAATTAAGAATGTTGTCACATTGAATAGAATGTGTCAGAGCTGTAATTCATAGTCAAATCATTTACAACAAAGAAAGAGGAAATGTTGTCTATGGATGCAACTGATTAGCAGAAGAGCAGTTTTAAGCAAATATATAAATTACATGCAAAGCTTTTAGAAAAAAAAGTTATGAAAACACTTCGTGCTTCTGTGTCTAAACTTTTTCTTTGTCTGAAGTGTTTAAATGTCTTCAAATGCTTGAGATCATGAAGAACTTGAGGAAGGGAAAAAGCAATCTAGTGAATTGTTCTATAGCCTAAGTTTTGAATAAAGCTTGTTATACATTGGATATTCATTGTGACTATACTGGACACACTGGGTACTGGCCTACTGCTCAAATAGTGGGATAAATTATTTTATATCCCCTCATATATTCTTGTTTTATTTTTTAAAATGTTATCTGCTCAGGCTTCTATAACCACTATTCAAGAGTGACTGCAATGGATTTACATGTGATATCAACAGAAAATTCACCATGTGTTAGTTGACCAAGAGAAATTCAATTTTATTTTCTCTCTTTCATATTTTTCATTGTTCTGCTAGAATGAGTAGAATAGATATATCAAAATTATAAAATAGTTCTGAATTTTTAAAGACTGTGTGCAAACTAACGTCTGTTTCCATTTGAAAATTCAGATAATTTAATAGGTAAATTCCATGCCAATATCAAATAACCAAATTATCTCTTTCAAGAAATTTAATCCTTTTTTCACCATCTGCTATCCGTAGTAAGTGAAAATCTTTCACATAGACTCATGTGAGATAGTCAATAATTGCAACTAGATTGAATTTCTTTAGCTAAGTTTACTTCCAGGTTTCTGTGATTGTAGGTCAAATAGCCTGGGTCTCTCTCCCAAGCTCTCCTCGAAAATGACACTGGCAGGTGCCATAGCTTATGGAAAGTGCCTCTTTTTTTGATGCATGTTCTGGTCCAGCATTTCTGTGGAGGGTGACTGCCATATCAAAGTATAGAAATCAATTGAATATTTTGCTTCCTCTATTGCAATAGAACAGAAACTCGTTTAAGTTAAATGTATCTATAGATCCCAAACTCTTTATTACTAGCTAAAATGATAAATTTAGAGTTCACCTAACAGCTAAGAAAATCTCTTGCTTTTTCCATTTATGCTTCTGTGCAGGAAATACCACACTGACTTTTATAACGCACTTGCATTCAGTTTCTGTAGAAATTACAAGGCAATAAAAGAAGAAGTTGTGATATCCTTCTACTGTAGTATCTGTAGGCAGTTGCTTAAAATAAATAATTATTCTATTTTACCTGTGGTTCCTGGTGCTTCCTTTTTCATAAAGCAGCACAGAAGAGGTCTTCACAGCTTCAGAAGAAAGGCAGAAACCTTTTGTGAAAATGTGGTGGACTTTTTTTCCTAAGAGTCTGTCTGTTGAGTGAAACTCCTGGAATGCTAGCACATTATTAAAAAGCAGCAAGAGAAGCATACCAGCTAATTGTTGCAGTAGGACCTGTTGAAGTTCAAGAACACTAGGGAAAAAATTAGTATTGTTCCTGCTGTGCTTCATTGTAATTGTTCAGATTTACCAGCAATATACCAGTTCAATTAATCAAGTTAAAATATGTAAATCCAAGGGAGTAAAAAGCCACCAAAACTTTGAGCACTATGTAAATGAGAGATAAAAATCAGATGTAGAAAGGAATGATTAGAGAAGATATGTTACAGAATATGCAAGATATACACTGTTCTAAGATTTGGGATGCATAGCTTAAGATGAATATAACTTCAGTAACATAAAAAATCAAATAGCTTTATTTGTAGTGTGACAGAAGAGACATATATTTCGTTCTTATAAAAAAGGATCTGGTAGGTTATGTGGAAGGTTGTAAATGCCTGCAACTCAGCAGACCTTGCCCATGGTAACAGCTTCATAACGTACAGTCATAGGTAGGCTTAAAAACTGGCTCAGCCAGTGCTAGCATATGCAGTCAATGCTACCAAAACCTTGAGTGTCTGCAAAATCCAAACTGTAAAAGCAAATTAGAAGAGGATTTGCTTGCAGTGATATTGTCAACTATGCATCTAGGTGCTGTAATCTTGCAAGCCCACAAAAAACCAGAGATGATAGAAGCAAATCAGAGCTTGAAATCAACCTGGGCCTCTCAGGAGGCAGTCTCCCTCTAAACTCTAAATGATTAAGAAAGAATGGGACCCTAAGGTGGTAATTTGATATTGTTCAAATGGATTCAGAGTAGCCCCTGCTTATAGCTGAGAATTAGGCTTGGGACTCATAGACCACAGTATCAGTTTAATAATGTGCTTTTGTGTAACCCACAGGGAAAAAAAATAACACAAAGTAGCACAGACATATTATAGGATAAGAAGTAGGAGATTTTTACAGGTGAAATAATTCCACCCACTGTTGTCACATATAGAAGATACAAATCTGTTACAAGAAAATCTCTTTTCTTTGAACAAGCACTGTTGAAGTCCTTTTAATTACAAATGGAGACCTAGGTGAGCAAATTTTGCATATTGGTAGAAGACTGAGTTCTTTAAATGGAATCATATTTTTAATATGAAACTTTCACAAACATCAGAAGAACCGTACAGGAATGTTAGCCAAGGTAAAACAGACTGGTCTTCTCATTAATTACTCTTGTTATTTAATGAATAGCACTGGTGGTGGAGTTATAATTGAGCAGTCCAGTAGAAGAAATTACAATTGGCCTTTGTACTTCAACAGGCCTTTGGAGGAGGTGGAGTTAGAGAGTTCACCCTAAAGAAATCATAACATGGAAACAGCATGTGAATAATGATCCTTCTATCCTTCTCTCTTTCTCATCAGTATACTGCCTATGAAAGGCTAATATCATTTCAGTACAGAATTTATCAGTATTATTCAGTACAGAATCACAAGAGTGTTGGGAGTATACATAAGACAGGAAAGAAAGATTTGAAGAGGACAGGGATTCTCCCCTAAATTCAAAGCTATTTCTCCTGAGTACAGTCATCTAAATATGATATGACTTCTCAAAAAGAATTCTCTGTATATTGTTTTTATCTGTTTCATTTCCTGTATGGTGATATATAGTAGAAATATGGGAAAAGGTAGAGCTGGCTAACAAAATAAATATTCTACTAGTATTTAAAATGTTACTAGGATTTCTCATAGTCAGTAAAAGTCAGTAAATAACTCATTTAGAGGATAGGAAATAATGGCATGCCTCTAAGAAATGTTTTTATTAAAGAGAATGTAAAAGCCCTGGAAAATTTTGCTGACATATGCTTTCAGGAATTAACTTTATTTTATTTAACAGCTATCTTGGCAGAAGGAAGAAAATTTTTAAGTCTGTCGAGCCAAATGACCTATGTGCCTACTTGATGCTCCTCTCTTACCAACCTCTCTGAAACTGTTCCACTTTTCTCTAAAAGCATGCACTAATTATTATAAATTGTTCTATTAAGTGTTGGAATTTATGGCCCACAGTATTCAAAGCTGAGCTGCAGCAGACAGATACACTATGTGGACAGACAGGTTTTTCTAGGGCTCCTTGGCAGGATGGTACCAGGGGTAAGGAGCAAGGGGTACCAGTCACACAGAGAGAGACAAATTATCCTGGGCAAATAATGAAGGATCATTGTGCCTGGGGAAGGAGAAGGGGAGAACCACACCTTTACCTCATGAGGTTGTGTGAAGCAGACATCTGCAGAAGCTCCCCTCATTTGTGTGTTGAGTAGCAGAGCTCACACAGACCTCAAGAGTTCAATTGTTGGATTTGGATGGAATTCCCAAAGTCAGCCTTGCTACTTTACTTTCAGATCTTAAGGTGAATGATGTGGCACTTCAAATGTCATCAAGTTTTTAAACATGAGAAAAAAGCTCCACAAAATTAGGGATGAAACAATAATCCTTTTATTTTCACAAGGAAAAGTAGTGGTGTTTAATTGAGCAGTCCAGTAGGAGAAATTACAATTGGCCTTTGTACTTCAACAGGCCTTTGTACTTCAGCATTCAATAATATGAAATAAATTAGAAGGGATTATGAAAAGGACTAATGAGTAAGTGACTGATTAGGTGGAATTTTATGAATACTACAGGAAAAATAAAATATACTCTATATACCTCTGGTGATTACAAGTTTGTTGCTTTTTCTTTGCTTTTTTTTCTTTTTTGTCTTTTCTTTTTTTTTAAATAAAATTCCAGGAGGCAAGCATACACTGAAATGAGGAGGTAATTTTCTGAATATCTGTAAGAATCATAAAGGTCATGGTTTTCTTTATTTTTGCCCTGGCATTATTGAAAGGTTCACAGAAAATTAGGCTTATTTTCAAGGGCTTTGTGACCTTTCTTGAAACAATGCCAAATGAGTAGTAATAAAATATTTCTGTAGAACTACCTCCCTTACTATTTTAAGATTCTATTTTTCTCCAAGTCCCTTTTTGTTGCCACTGGTGGTGCAGCAAGAGATCCATAGCATTGGAATGAATATTACATAAGATCCTTGCAAAACAGATGCCTCTAGAAATTCTTTTCCATCCTCTCATTATCATGGAAAGCAGTCTTTCAACCATCTTTGAAACGCCTCCCAAAAATGTGCTCTAAGCTCATCTACTTGTGTCTGTGAGCCACCTGCATGTACATCTGTACAGGAAATGCTGGTCATATTGGCCATCATTACCAATTGTTCTTCTATTTTCCATTTCCAAGGACTTAATATCGCACTATTTTATTTTTCTGTTTACATTGCATGCAAATATTTGGCTTGGTAATGCTAAAGTGAGCAGTGAAAACCATTCCATATGATTAGTGTTGTTCCACATGGTAGCTGGAATCTATTCAATTTAATGACCTTAACTGGTTTTTCAAGTGGGATTTTTTTTTTAGTCAGGCTGCCTAATTAGATTTCTGGATTAACATTAGAAATGCCTTTCAGGGTGATAGCTAAGGGATTTTTAGTACTCCATTTTGTCTCTGACCTTGGCCACTCTCAATGCGTTTGCATTTTAAAATAACATGCCTGAAAATGGGTGGGTTAAGAGATGATCCTGAGCAGCTTTAAGCAGTATTGCACTATATTGAGTTAACCTATACAATATGTACACTGTGTAATATAGCATTACACTGTGTCACACTATACACTGTTTTGCCTCATATTGTTCTGTACCATGGCTAGATTTGACATTACCTATAAATGTTTAGGAAGCTGGTGTGTCTAAAATAGCTGTTGATAGCTGTTAAGGTTCTCAGGATAGAAAGAGATGAAATGGGCTTTACTGCTTCTAAATTAAAGAGAAGGAAGTGATGACATGGCTGTGAAAACACTGTTAGAAATCTGTTATCAGCAAGACTTTTGATTCCTCTGCAGCCTTTCAGATTTTGAATGTCTTTTGTGGTGTCCTATTACTTTTTTTCTGTTCTGTTTAAGGAATAGGTACTTGGGAGGAAAAATCCCTATTGTTACCTCGAGTATTTTGCCTTTTACAATGTATTCAGATCTTTCTTCATTTTGTCTCACAGTCCTTTGTGTATGGAGCAATAGAGAGGGGAATGAACATCACAATGTGCCAAAGGTTGAAATATCCTTGATAGGATTATAGAATATGTTGCACACTGTGTCTGAACAAAACAGGATCACAGAAAAGAAGACAGGTCAACTTGTTGCTTGCTGCAGAAAATTTAGAGGCAATGGAAAAATGTCTATGCATGTTAGAGAAAGCAAGGGACTCAGATTAAGAAGCTGGCAGTATCAGCAGTGAAAGAAGCCAAGAAAAACAGATGCCAGATCTAAATACCAATTCTTTAAGGACTGAATCACTTATTCAGCAGCCATACATTGACTGCCTACAATAATTGACATGGGTACAATGCTGTTGTCTGCTTGGGGAAGAGTTTTTGCAAAGTCAGATTGAAATTATTCTGAGAGGTCAAAAATGGCTGTGAAATCATCTCTCTATTTTTTGTTCATACAGATACTATAATGATCCAGATGTCTGCCCTTCTACAAATCATTGAGCAACTCTCTGGGCTATAAACATAGTGTTCAAAACATATTTGACAACTTAGACTACACATTGCTGTCTGATACTTTTAATGTATGTGTGGGTCCAAATACTTTCAAATGTATTTACATTATCTATTAAATTCATACTTTTGTCAACTTATGATCTAATAATGAAAGATATTACAGACTGTAAAAACATGGATTTGAGTGATCAATGCTGTATTGCTTAATCCTGTATTGTTTGGAATTTATTGAAAAAACTATTGTTGATATGACAAGGCTATTGCTCATGCTCAAAAATGTCAATGTTTTCTTTCACTTTTGAGTTTGTTGCTAAATTTTGTAAAAGCCTAGTACTTAAGTTGTAGGGTCCTTGAGAGCCACCAGTTTTATTTCACTGCTCCCATACAGGACAAATTGTACAACAAAATTTCTGATCACTGTTTGTCTAATCTGTTTCTTAAAGCCTCTAATGAAAGAGACTCTCTGATCACATTCAATAAATCAGTGCGAAACAGAAGAAAACTGTGGGAAATGGG